ACTGATATCCGCATGGGGGGTAGGATGAGGGCTCCCAATCAAATGGGGGAACTGCATTTTGACATATCACTCCTTCATAATTACATATCTCAAAGAGGTAGACAGTACATCATCTACACCTACAGAACACCACCACCCTACTTTGCATTGAATGGTTACAGCCATCATTTGTGTGAAACCCACTCACAGCAGGGTGCCTCCATGGTTGACCACCCTAGTGGTTTGGAACTGGAAAGTGGTGGGGACTCCAATACTCCACTAGAAAAAAAGTGGATGAAAAGATGGTGGAGAGTCCGGAGAAACATTATCACCTGAGACAGTGTAATGGTTGACCAAACGCTATTTTGGAAAGCAGACCATAGCGAGCTAATCATTACAGGCATGGCAGGGATGGGCAGCTATCCCCTTCTGCTTTATGCCTGCAGTACATGAGTTGTATGGTCTGAAACGTGCATGTTTATGAAGCAAAATATCACAATGTTATTCACCTACAAGTGATCTCGTGGAGCATGCCAACTCAATGGTAAGCATTGTGAAGCCATGAAATATATAGCGAGAATCAACAGTGCAGATTTCAAGTTAAAGAATACCTGCTCAGGCACAACTCACCACAGAGTGGGATCCATATAATGAGGAATGAGGAAAAAGGCCCCTGAAAAGGAAGAAAGCCTAAACAGAAACTTCCCAGTCAGAGTCACACCAAAGTCTGAAGAACAGCCACAGGTGGGGGGAACAAAAAACCCAACAAAGAAGGAACTGTGATATGATAATGGAATACAAACGTATTTGGAGTGGTCCACATGCCTGATTGTAGAATTTCCTTCAATGGATGACGAGGACAAGAAGTGAGGGAAAAGGTGAGGTGTCTTATCTGATGAGAAGACACCTTGAACAAATTCCGGAAGGAAGAAGGTAAGCAGGAATAAGCTAATCGAATCAAATGTTGGACCCAGTTGGTAAGTGTTGAAGGTGAAAGGGAGGAAGACTGCCAGGGGATAAAGAATCAAGAATGGGTACCATGGAAGGAAGCCGTAAGGGCAATATAACAGTGAAGAGCCCTGACCGGACACAGAAGCCAGTCCGGATCTGGTTAAGGGTAAAGATGAGAAATGGAAGGAATGGAAATTGGCGAAAAGGATGAGCTATCCTCCTGAGTCGCTGAGGTCTTTGGGAAGAAGGAGCGATCTGGATAAAGGAGAAGATAGATATATCAACATCCATTTTAGTCCTCCATAAACCTGGAGAAAACACCCACTTCAGGGTGAGAAAAGACTCCATGTAAACCAGAGCAGGTGAATGAAGCATTGAGGAGAAATAAATCTATGATTGGCCTCCAGTCCCCAGTTTTTTTGGGAACAATAAAAAGTCGGGAATAAAAACCTGTTGAAGAACGAAGAACAGCTATGATGGCCTGCTGAGATAGCAATCCCTGAACTGCTTCAGACAGATGCTGACTGGTCACAAGATTCTGAGGAGGAGGGAAGGAAATGGGGAAAGGAGACATGGGAGGTGGAGAAGGAAGGGGATCACGAATCCTTCTGCTAAAACTTGAAAACCTATTGATCATCAATGAAGAAACATCAGTGGTGAAGAAACTGGCAAGTCGAGCTCCCACCAGACCAGAACCCTTTGAATAGTCACCGGTAATGTTAATGACATGACGTGCATCATCATAAAATGATGAGAAGAGACACTTCAAGAAGAAGGGACAGGTAAGGGTTAGGAAAGGAATGATGGGAAATGGTAATAGGTGACATATGGGGCTTTGACCGAGACAAACGTGCAACAACACGAGTAAGGGAGATTGTTGTTCGACCAATGTCACTCATAGCTCTAGTGTTTCTTGGATCATGTCAAAAACATATCACCACAGAAATGGGGCCATACATAAATCCCAAAGATAAGTTGATGGTAAACAGACCCAAGCCAAAATTCCATCACAACCTAGAAGGTCCAACAACAGAGAAACCACATATGCAAAGCTAGAGCCAAAGACGACAAACGAGGTAGTGTAAAGGAAAGAAGGAAAAGGTATCCATAGAAAATCCCTCAGGATTTCTGTGGAGAGCTTCAGAGAGGAGGTGCAGAGAAGAAAGATACTGTAAAACAGTTGTAAGGGTAAGACACAGGTGAGAAAATTGGGCATGGGTCAGACTGACAGGTGGTTTGGGAGCCACCCCCAAACAGGCAATATGGAACCTAACAACTGTTGATCCAGAAAGTGATAGTCAGCACAATGGTATGATAGGGATAAAACGTCATATATCTGAGAAACAAAATCCAAAAAGACTGAGTTAGGGCTAACCAATTCCTTAGGCAGGGTATGGGAAGGTATGGCAAAATCAGGAGGTGGAAATAGACAATCCAAGTTCTTTTCAGTCTGAACAGGCTCTACCTGTTTGGGAGGAACTGGGGACAAAGGCTGGCCCATGTAATGCTTGATCTACAGGCAGGTAAATGCGGATAAATCCACCATAGAGTCACTCGCACCTGAGGCCTGAGAAAGAACGCTAGTTGCTAGTGACCCCCGAAGTGGTAACATGAACTTCAAAATTCATTGTGAAGAGACCACCAAATTCGAGTGGTGAATTTAAAAAAATAATGTGACTGCAACTAACTGATAAAAGTTTTTAAAGTGAAGATACTGTCTGACTGAAAACTCAATAAATTAAAGAAAACCACTTTGTGAGGAAACTTGAGATGAACGTGAATCATTAAACAAACAAGAGGAACATCCGAACACAAGCATTGCCAAACAAGAAGTTATAGTTTGGTAGATGACTATAGAGGGAATCACGTGCGTCACATGAGCATGTCATACTCTAATTGGTGTAGAGGTGATGCAAGATGATTTCCATGAGAGACACATGGGAATATTACAATTCCAATAGGAGGAGCAGAAGATTTGTGGCATGCATAAAGAAAAAGTTCGCATAAAGAGGGTAGCACCAAATGGAAATAGCTAATTTTGTGAGAGGAGGTAATTACCGTATCAGAAATAATTATTTGTTTTTTTTAACTTTTTTGGTATAGGTATTCTTAAACACGCTTACTGCTTGAACTTAAGTTGAGAAAAATATATGCAAGATAATTACAATGTTTTCTTCTCCAATTTCTTGTGAGACAAGAGATATAATAGGATTTATTTATTTTTCTCTTTCAGAAATTTTTCTTTAGATGAGTTTGAGGAAGAGCATTCTCTGCTAGTAAATTCTCAGCAAGGCCAGCACAACAGTGATATTCTTGTTACAAGTTAAACTGAAATCAGTGGCTTTCACAAGCTTAATTCACTCTCCTCAAACAAAACAATGAAAATGTAAACCAACGTACAATGGAATTTAGTTCTAGAATACAGTTTCTGGAGTTCTACAAAATGCAAATGCAAAAAATTGTTCTATTGATAATGTGTTTTACATACAGTTTTGTGAGATAAGGATCATCTTTTCAATTAGTCACTGCCTCTGAATGCATCAATATAAGTCATAAAAAGTGTGGAATGTACCAAGCAGTAAAGTTAGAAAGGCTGTGTCTATACCAGTGGTTCCCAAACTTTTTTCACTGACAACACCCTAATCCACTTACTTTTACTTTACATCACACCCCTGCTGCCACATGTAATATTTTTTTGTAGTTTTCTTCATGTTCTTATTATTTTTTTTCATCTGGTGAAAAATTCATGACACCCCAGCAACTTGCCACAACACACAATTTGGAAAACACTGGCTTATAGATAGTCAGAATACTTCAAAAAGAATATATTTTGTTTCCTCATGTTGCTAGCTACATTCAAATTGACCAGTAAGCCAACATCCACCTGTGGATGTATGAAGATGTACTACAAATTCCACTTGTTCTGTTCATTAATTGATGTCATAGCTTGCTGAAAAAAAAGCTATTATTGTGTTATTAAGAAGTCTACTTCATTTCCATATTACACTTGTAAAAAAACAAAGAATCAACTATGACTTGAAGCAAAATAAAACCTCAGGTACTCTATAAATTGAAGCTTTACTGATATGATATTAATAGTACAAACTGAAACAAAAGGATAAATACTAAAAGATTTATGAAGATACAAAGAAATAGATTGTGACAAAACAAATTATTGTTTTATGTGCACACTGATTTTTTAACATAGATTTCTATATCTTTTAGGTCACACTGAAATTCTGATTCTAACTGAAGGAGTTGTATAATTATGATGCAACAAACCCACTAATAAAATATATATATTACATGAACACATAATACTCGAATATTTCTGCTAGCCAGTCTTCAGCCATTATATTAGCTCTCTAGATCTGAATGGAGTCAATTTGACTCCCTTTGTAACCACATAATCATGAAACTATACATTTTACAACTCTGAATGTACTGAGTGTATCTCAATGCAATTTGGCAAGCTTTTAATAAAAATAACAAATCTTTTGTACATAAAATATTTTACTAAGGATTTGCCTGTGAATTTACAAAACTTTTACTGAGTCAGTCTGAATGAAAGGTGATTTCTATGCTAAGAATAAAGATACTTCTTTCACCTTACAGTTTTCTTATTTCATTTCCATTACCTTTAGAACCCGCTAAATGAATATCAGGTTTTCCAGTACAGATTTATATTTTACTCAGTTATTTTGTCTATCGTAACGCTAAAAGTATAAAATCAGCTATGAAAATGAAAAGTTGAAAAATGTGAAATAAATCTATATTACCCTTTTTTCTTTCTAGAGTAACTGCATATTGTAACAAACTATTATGAGCTATTTATTCTTACAGTCAAAAATAATAGACTTTTTAAATCTGGATTCATTTAGTTTCATTGCTGTATAACTGCACTTAGGAAAATCTCAGAATGTGCTGAAAGCAATTTATCACAGCCAGACAGCTTTGTGTAAACAAACAATCAAACTACAATTAAGCCACGTGATGAGTGTGTGATAGGGTGTTGAGTATCACAATAATTTTTTTTATAACCTAAGTAAGTTTCTAATTTTTAATTTGAGTTACTTTTATATCAATGAATAATATATATACGTAAAAAACAGGAAATTTAGTACTTACATCTAGACTAAGGGATTTTGACATTGACAGACTAAGCACTCTATCACTTCTTTTTTGTAATGATGTTGATAGTCTAAAATATTATTCATTTTTATTTCAAATATGCATTTGAAGACAAAAAACATTATCTCGAACTAAGAATAAAATTTAACTGGTTTTTCTAACTAATTATATAAACAGCTTAAAAAATTCTGTTAGCTGGTGGATCAGAATAACATAAAGAAAAATAATGAAACTGAGGCTAAATAGTTCCTATGCTGGAGCCAAATGAACAAGCCTTCTAATGAATCTTGTAAAGAATAACACGCTATTTATATTAGTTATACATAATCCAATAGCAAACATCAGAAAGAATTAGACATTTTTTGAAAGACAGGATGAGATGAGAGAGGCATGGCATGTTAGCTTGACTATTTTTCTTTATATCTCAGTAAAGCAAGAATGTTAGAGGTTATACATTTACATTATGGTTTAGTAATATCTATAGTATGTGTGTAATTGGTGACACACTCAGAAGATCATATAGGGGTAAAAAGAAAACCTAAAATGGGTAATTTAGAGCAAAGAAGTGCCACCTAATACATCAAAGTGAAGACAGAAAATTTATATAAATATTTGCTTTTTAAAATTAAAAAAATAAAACTTACATAATATCAAAAGTTTAATTATAAATTATGTTTTGATGACATGTTTATTGACATATATTGATAATAAAGTTGCTTCATTAAAAGTAGTGACAAGTTCACTTTGATCCATTCATATCCTACAAAAACCACATTTAACATTTTTCAGCCCATAAACGAAACAACCCTGGTTATTTCAAAATATGAGTAACATGAACTTTCTTAGTAAGTTTGTCACAATCTGAGAGTTCATCAAGAATATCAAGAGATATCTTGAAGATACAACACTGCAACCACTCAATGTATATGGTTGCATGTTCTTTTAAACGTCACAGAAGTATTTGTCACTGTTGTAGCCTTCATTAAAAATACATTTAGTTCAGTTTCTATTAAACTGTTACTTTTCCTACTTTCTTTTTAAATGGACTAGAAATAGCCAATATATCTAACAAGTCGTTGTTCATATTCACAGTGTAAATAAGTAATTCAAGTTACAGTAGTAAATGTTTTTCTTTTTCAATGAAGATGCAACACTGGTTGCTTCAGTAACCTGTAAACTCCTTTGGATCTAATTTACATATTTGTACTTTTTTTGCAAAATGATCCATGCATGCTTTTTCCATTGAAGGAAATTCCTTTAACCGTATGGGATTTAACCTAATCTAGAAAAACCACCGATGCCAATTTTAGTATGCTATTCATAATATCAAACATCAAGATAAAGACATTGTCCATGACTGAAAAGTATCTGAAAAAAGATCATTCTTGGGTCTCCTATTACATTTATAACAAAACTCAGGCTAAATAATAGTCAATACCACTAAAATATAGGTTTTAAGGGTTCATTGGTCAGTAAAATAAAGGTTTTTATAGGTTTTATATCTAGCTTCTTAGGTAAGCAACCAATTTTCCAGCCTGAACCACCCCAAAGAATCATGATATTAATTGGACAAAAACACGTTTCTTATGTTTTTCCAAAGAATACTTATGAATTTATTATGCTTTTATTATAAGTTTTATTTACCATTAGAGTGTATAACTTTATTTTTTTCTTAAGTTCTGTTTTTAATATATTTGTTAAGAAAACATTAAAACAAAAGTATCTGTGTGTGGGTCAGGTTGATTGACAAAATAGGTTTTTATATGTTCACTGGGATGCTTGCATTCTAATAACTTACCTGACAAAGTTTGAGTAAATATATCTCAAGAGCTCCCAAGGCAAAAACTCATGGTTGTAGTGCCTAAATAATACTTACAAAATCTACTTATAATCCAACTTACATGTAACCAAAAGCCACCTTCCATAACTTTTCCAAACTTGGTCCTTTCAAAAAAACATTTACCCTTTGTTAACTTGTCGTCTCTGTAATGATATAACTTATCTATATTCAATAAGCTCACACCTTGAAGCAATTATGGAGATAAAAACTTATAAAAAATTACACTATTTTATTTTCTTTATGCAGAATTTTGGTTGTGTGCTGCAACCTTTTTTACATTCAACTGGAATATTATCATTATATTCTTCATACCTACAATAACCCCATACACATGGGTGAGGGTCAAAGTGAATAAGCTATGACCTCTTACAAAGTGCTGTGTTTGATGTCAGAATTATCAACTATTCATTTTACACTAAATTGCTAATTTAGCAAAAGTTTGTGGTAGAGTAAGTATCAGATACATCATACAGAGAAACTGTAGATATGTATTTTGGATGTTTTAGAAGTTAGGTAAATACAATATCCATACTATATGATGGACAAAGGTATCTTTATTCTTCACATGAACATCATCTTGCACTCTGACTCGTCAGACAGATGACGTCAGTTCACAGCCATATCTTGAGTAAAAAATACCTTTGTAATTTATCTCAGTTTCTGTGTACAACAGACTCATATATTTTCTAAAAGCTTGCCACATTTTAAGTAGATACACATAGCAAATTTGTAATTATAGTTAATATTTTTTCTCCAATATAGGGTTGGTCTAATGGATTGAGCCCATGCACATTGGGTTACTGAGACAGTATGTTATCTCACGATACTCTTTGAAAGCATCTCTACGAAAACCTAAGAAAACTGTTTATCATTGTTATTGTACTGTTTCTAATTCACAAAACAGCAGATCCAAAATTAAGATTAGCAGCTTGAAATTAAAAACTCTAAAAGTTATTTATTTACAGGCTTAAACCAGACTCATATTAACTGCTTCAAAACTGTGTGGCATGCAGCAAAGAACAATCAAAATTAGAGCTGAATGAAGATAAAGTTTGATACAAGGTTGGGAAGTGGAAAATCGAGCCTTAGCAGGATGACAGTGGTAAAAATACCTATAGTCATTTAAATATGCATAAATGCTGATAAGTTCTTGTAAGTTATATACACGTACTTGTTTTTACATGGTGTCGGAAATTGCTTGGACAGTGCTGAGCTGACATCCCTTTATAACTGGATAACGTGAAACAGCTATTTTTTCTATACTATTGTAATAAAAAATACACAACTGCACAAATCACAATAACCTCGTTGTTGATAATTATAAATAAAGGGTACAATAATGGCATGAAACACCCAGCTCAAACGCAATATTTCTTTAAAACTAATACTGACAAATGATTATGAGTTGCTAGTCTGAAGGCACGTTAAAATTATAGGCCTTAATTTTAATTATTTTACAACTGTCAAGATGACACTTTTTCTTAGCACATCTTTTTCTGGTTTGTAAATGTCAACCAACAGTCACATACACACATATATACACAATTTCCTGAAAATCTGGAAATTCTGTGAACAGGTCAGATTCTGTGGAAAGATGTTGCTAATTAAGGTTCTGAATCTTACTCCCTTCTAAGATTCTCCAAACGGGCTTGTAAGTCTGCGTCTGCATCAGCTATTGCAGTAGCAGCAGGCTTCTCCTTTTGTGATGCTGCTGCTATTGAAGTTGATGCTTCTGGCAATCCCGTCAGTTGATCTGTTAACTGTAGTCCAAGTTCATCCAACACCTGTGTAACAACTGCATCACTGTTGGGATGGATAGTATAAGAAAATACAATGTATTTTACATAAGAAATCAAATACTTATAAATAATAAAAACAATGTTCACTTAAATAATCAGTATGGTAACCAAATAGTATGATTGCAAATTTTAGATACTAATTAATAGCCAGACAGAAAGTCCTGCTTTAATAAATAAATGTAAAAAACTTTATAATTTAAGGAATTATCCTGTAATTTAAAACTTATTTATTAACGAAGACACAGAGTATACTATCTATGGTCACAAAATTTAAACAGGTTAACTAGGCATCACCAGGTAGTTGTTGTACTCAATTATATCAGGTTAACCTGGTGAAATGCTGTAACCATAGATAGTATACTCTGTGTATCCAATTATAAATAAGTTTTTAAGGAAAAAACTTTGAAATCATGAGTGATTCAGCACGCTTTTGTTTTATATATAACTTTTAAAATCAAGTTGGACTCCTTGACACAAAGAATTTATCACACAAATGCCAAAAGGGCACATATTCCCATGATGTGTTTACAGGCTCTAGATAACCATCTATCTGTTTCAAAATGAACTTAAGTTGCTGATCTACAAGACCAGTAACCTGGCAGTTTTACTGGTCCATGACTAAACTCAGAGGTCTGCAGTGTGGAAGATATATATATATACCGTACTGCAATGCTACAGGTTTGATCACCTACAAAAATGGTATACTTGTGCGTCAAAAAGAAGCTTTCAGCACTTTTAATATGTTATTAACATTAATCTATTTTTTAATAAAACTGACTTTGAAAATAGCATAAGTAGTACTTTCACATTAACTTTATTGGGTAAAAAGTAATCCATGCATTCTTGTTTATAAAGACATGCTAAGAATAATATTTAAAATTTTGTATCATCTATTACTTCATCAATAGGGGGCACTACACAAACTATATAAGGGATGTTGGAATATAACTAGACTGTCAATGACTTAATAATTGTTTTAATCTTCTGAAAAAAACAACTACCATATTATTCTTAGGCTCGAATCAATATTTCAACAAACTGCTTAATATTAAGCAGTCAATTTCAATTGGGATCAATCAAAGTTTTCACTTTTTTATTATACATAAGCTTACATGATATATTCATAATTAAAAAAAACATGTAGGATCATAATAGTACATTAATCATAATTTAAGAGAATCAAGAGTTTTTGGAAGACAACTCTGAATAAGGAGGGTTTACCTTATAAAAAAGATCTCAGCTTTCTTAATTTGTGACTTATGATAAATGTATTTTTCAGTTACTACAATATAAGAACTGACGATTGACTATTATTTCAAAGCCTACATACTACCAATCACAACAGTAAAAGAGACTATGATGGAACAAGTTGTGTCTTTGCATTATTTTTATACTGTTTTTAGGGATATGTTTGTCTAAATTAATAAAATGGAAATATATGAAAGGAAATATTCACCAAATCAGCCAACAATCAAAAGTGCACATAAAAATGTCTTCCCCACCCACTCCTGTACTTGATCATTAACAATAGTTAAAAAAGTGAAAACATAATAAAATGCCACAAAACCACTATGTTGTCTCAAAAAAATAAATCACAATATATATATTCTAATAGAACTTTCTATCATTGCTTATATTTGTGTTTATGGCATTTCTGAAAAAAAAAAAAATTCTAATTTACCTTTCTTCTTCATCTTCTTCTTCACCCATAGCATCATCAATTGCATCATTCATCATTTCTTCTTTCATGTCCATTACTTCAGACTGTTTTTCAAATTCTTGCATAATTTTCTGAATTTGTGGAAGTTTAAGCTTAAGGAAAAAAAGTTAAACATGAACATTCTTACAATGAGAAAGAGGAAAAGTTAGTACATAGCAGATAGATGAAAACAATACACTCATTTAATTATTTTATTCCTGTTGTTCCAAACAACAGTTGTCAATCCAGTTCTGTTTGTGGTGATGGCAAGCATTGGACCTGGAGATGGGGGCAGAGCAATGCTTTTATTTTAATTTTTTTGTTACATACTATATTTTTGTGCAAATTAAACATGCACATACAAATAAATAAAAACTTATTTTATGGACAGGATAACATACTTTTCATCCATTGTAACTTGAGAATTTGTGTATCTGTGTAAATGGCACATTTAGTTTACAGACAAATATTAACAATTCTTAGATTAGAACAAAAAAATTTTTTTTTAAAAAAAGTTGGTATTAAATATAAGAAATCATACCTTATAATTTCAATGAAAAAATTATAGAAATGTAGAACCATATCATTACATTCTCACAGAGATGAATATATAGAAAAATAAAAATTAAATTTTCTTTTGTTCATTGGTTTACAGAAATCCATTAGAAAAAAAATGTAATATTACAGGGTTAAATCATTATATCTAAACTTACATCATCAGAAGTTAACATTTTCTTACGCTGAAAATATATTTCTGATAGGTACTTACCTCCCCTCACCCAAAGCTATCTTGACCTTGGTTTGCCCTCTAAGTATTCACTAAATCTGAATACTTCTATGATGCTCACTGTGGAGATGGGATGTTTCTGTAAGACCACCGGCCACTTATCTGGTAGTGTGTATATATTTATATATATTTTTTTGTTATAACAGTATTATATATAAACAACTGTCACTCATGGATTTCATGGGTGAGAAGAATCAATACTGTTTCAGAAATGAACATTTTCTTACAGTGAAAATGTATTTCTGACAGGTACTTACCTCCTCTTACCCACTTCCCACCGTTCCTCCCCACTGATATGCTGGTGTGTCTAGTTTGTACTTGCCAATTCTTGAAAGTGAGGATTGTGCTAGAATAGTAGCGGGTGTTACCTGCAGTAGTATAGATGGTGCAGTATGATTTGTGGATAGTAGTCACATTATCAGCACATCTTCTTAAATGGCATGAAAATGAAGGGGTATAAAAGACTGGTGCACTGTTAGCGATAAAATTTTTAACAATGCATGAAATATGATGAAAATCAACTGAATAACATAAAAACTAATAAAATGTTAACTTACCCCAGTCAAAAGCAAACAGGAGTGTGTAGAATCACCATAAGAGGAACACGATACCCGACTGAGGAAGACACAGTCTGGTCGTGCAGATAATGTGCAACAAATGTATTGGGAGTTGTCCACATACCACCTTGAATCATCTCCTTCAAAGGTCAGCAGATCTGAGCAGCTAAAGACATAGTTAAAAGATGTATATGGTGTGATGAAACATTGTGCAGCCATTGACCTTCCATGGACAAATCAGAATAAGCCAGTCATATGAGTTGATTACCCCAGCCAATAAGGGTAATAGGTGATAGATCTCAGGAAACAGAGGGATTCCATGGAAAAAATAAAAAAAAGGGAACCATGAAAGGAGGTTGTACAAGACATATAACAACACAGAAGTAATGGGACAAAGCAGATGATCTGAACACGAACATGAGTGTACGTGGGAAATAGAAGGTAAGAAAATAGAAGAAAAGGCAAAACAACCTTCATGGGCAGCAGATGTCTCAGGAAGGAAGGCCTGATTCGGATAAACAACAACATAAGAGGAATGGTAAAGGGTGTGGGAAACATTAATGGCATAATTAGCAGAATGACAATGACCACAAGCCAGGAGTAGAAGGAAATAGGTCTTAAGGGAAAGATGGTACAAGGAGCTCATAACAATAGGTTCAAAGGGAATGAAGAACAACATTGAGATCCCAATCTGGAAGAAAAAAATAGCAGGAAGGACAAACTAGACAAAAGGAACAGAAAAGGAGGGAAGTAATTAGGGAGGCAAAAGCTGTATGGAAACAAGAGAAATGGAAGGTGGTCGACAGGGAAGCCCTATAACTAGCAACAGTTGATACAGACAAATCCTGATCAAACAACCAGATAAAGAACTGAAACAGATGAGGAAAAGAAGGACGGGAAGGATGGAAGCCATGGAAAATGGACCACCATCTGAAGGTAGACCAATATCTCTGGTACACAGAAACACGTTTGATTGTGGTTGTCAGAGATACAGCCTTGATAGAGGTAAGGGCAGGGGCTCCAGTAAGAGCCAGGGCAGAGGGAACCAAATCTAAACCAGCCAATGCGTATCAACTAGCAGAACATAAGAAGAAGTGGTCTGGATGAGGAAAATGTCCCTGGAGATTAGTCTGATGGGGGGGGGAGTAGGCATATAGATGAAGGCCGCTCTAATCCTGACTGAATGCATCCACCCCAGAGCTGATGAGTGTGGAACAGGAGGCCAAATAGAAGGAAGTTTGGCATTCCAGTGAGTGGCAAAGGCATCTGTATGTGGCATTCCTAGGTGAAGATGAAGGGACCACTCTGTAGAGAGAACTTGGTTAGGATGAGACAAGCAATCGGCCACCAGATTCATAATCCCAGAAACATGATACACTAAGATCGTCATGTTGTAGTTGTGGGCCCAGTACAGGAGGTTGAGTGTCTGAAAACACAGAAACCTGGACATGGTTCCCCCATATTTGGTGATATAGCTGATGACAGTGGAATGAACCAAAACAACCCACCCCTGCAGGGAGGAAATGATACTGAGCCTGATAAACAGTCAAAAGTTCTAGAAGGTTGATATGGAAAGTAGTCTCCTTGAATGACCACTGACCAGAAATCTCCTGGGAATTGAGGTAAGCCCTCAATCCACCAAGGAAGCATCTATAAAACAGATGAGACTTGGGACAAGAAGGAGGAATGGCAACCTCCACCATGGTCAGTTCTCGGTCAAGCCACCAAAGCAAGGTTGGCCCTGATCCTGGGGGGGGGGGGTAAGCTAAAGAATACTGGTCCATCAACCGAGGGGGACAAGGCATACTCACATCCAAAAGCAATGGATCAGCAAAACACTGAGTACAAAATAGGATGTTGGGTAAGGGAGGAATAACATAATAATCCGAATGAGGTTCTTCACCGAACAAAGAAAGCAAGGAATCGAGAGCTAAAGTTGAAACATTTAAAATTTAATACGTCTGATCAATAAGTTGTAGGAAAGGCGAGGTTGGTAAACTCTCCTGACTGTCAGCATTATGTGACTGACCAAAAAAGTCAGGGTCGGAAAAATAGTCCAAATTGTCTTCATCCTGATGAAAGTCTTCCTCAGTAGTATGTTCAGGGGGAAAGGGAGAATTAACCTACAGCTGAGCAAAAACATCCAACTCCTTGTGAATTACAGCTTGAACTTCCTTGGCAGATATTGTCAACCTGCCATGCTGGGGACTAGTGACATCACTATCTTCAATATTGATGGGAACTTCATCATCTGCGATAGTAAAATTTAAATTCATATTTCAAAGTAGAATTCAAGAAACAAAAACTAAATTATATTTTGAAAACAAACATGAAAGTCGAAAAGTTAAGTTTAAAACTGGTGAAAGGGGTATAAAAGACTGGTGTGTTGTTAGCAATAAAATTTTTAGTAATGCTTAGAGGGCAAACCAAGATCAAGATAGCTTTGGGTGAGAATAGATAGTATCGTTTCAGAATTCAAAATATGTTTGTTTAAAATATCATCTGCTCATTTAGTTATATTAAAACAGTATAAATATATAAAATGTGTATCAAACTTGTACATATAGCCTGGATTATCATCTTGATATATAGTGTTTTCTTATACCAGAAATAGTTAAATTAATACCACTCTTATTTTTTAACTGATCCCTCAATAAAACAAAGTAATTCCTTTTTTTACATAAATAATGTGACCTAAAACATAAATAAATATATTATAATGTAGGATTTAATTTTTCATTTTAAAATTTATTCACTATTACAAAGTAAATCAATATTAACTAAATATGAAAACAATAAAAACTGTATCTGTAAAAAACAGTTCATGATTACCTGGTTATTCATGTTTTGCATAGCTTTTGTAACTCCTTTCATAGCTTGGGCCATAGCATTTTGAGATCGTAGAGTTTGAATTTTAAGTGCTACAGCTTGTATATTTGCTCGCATCAAAATAAATTTTTTGACATATCTTCTTGTCCGCACTAGGTCTTTAGCCATAATTTTTACTGCATCCTTAGATAGAAAAAATTTATCATTTAGGAAAATAATCATTAAAAGATACCATAAACAACCACTAGAAACAAAATAAACTTCTTGAACAAATCAAACAACTCAAGCAAAATATAAAATTAGTCTGGGCATAATTAAATTCCCAATTTTAAACCAAGTATTATGTTAGAAATAATAACAGGAAGCTAAAGATATTTTTGAAGTTATCCAGTCAAAAACAATAATCATTATAGCAAGAAATACCTCAGTCCCAAGATTCTGGTACAGAAATCAATCTGGTTGGTGTGATTTTGATGGATAAAAAAAATCCTTTTCAATCCAGACTTAGAAATTAAACAAATGTTAATCATGAAATAAAGAGCTTCCCAAACCGTGTATGTTGATATTTATAATTTTTATTTTTCTTAATATGTTGATTTCATATAAAGCGAGAAAAAGGACTCTGCTGTCCCAAATAGCTACTAAATATTGAGAAAAAAAACGATTACTGTTAGAAGTTAAAAATAAAATGAAAATATGATATTTAGCAAAAATTCAAAAATATTATATTGACTATACAATGTAGTGATTATTATTTAAAAAGAGATGCTTAGAATTATGTATGCATGATTTAAGTTGCATAATGGTAATAGGTAGACCTTTTATGGTGAAAATAAATATTTGTGGGTAAGATTTTTACCTTGAATTAGAATAAATGGAAAATTGTATATTTTATGCTTTGTTTTTCATGAAAAAGCTTTTCTTTTATTAATAGTATGAAAAAGAACATGACAAATTAAAAAAAAATACACAGGAGCGTAACATCCATCTGAAACATGGATAAATTATCAAAAATACTAGTATTCTTGGAGTAATTTGTGTTTTACATAAGTTAAGTTACTAAATCTTCCATCAACACTTCTTTGTACTGCAGACATATTTAACTTCTTAACCATACCATATCAAAAGATAAAATTTTAATGATTCTTTTCTAGTGTACACCAGTAATAAAGATGCTAAAATGCCCTTTCCTAGTAAGCCTGAAAACCACATCATGTTTTTCTATATGTGCTCAACCACTAACCAATCAGAGCTTTCCACACTACCTAACCACTTATTTTATCTTGGTACAAGAATGGTAACATGCCAATCAAAACATAAAAATGGTCAGTTCAAAGTGAGGGGGGGAGGAGTAACATCCAAAAAATCCTGCTTTTGCACTATTACATAAGACATGCAAAACAATGAAAGAGAACATTTGATCTAGCATGATAAAAAAATAACAAAAGATGTAAATTAGGACAAAGAGAAAGGAAATTTGTATTCAAAACCAGTAAAACCAAAGCCAGAGAGTTAAAAGAAAATTTACAAGAATAATGGTGAAAGGTAAGGTGTATTCATAAAGTATAAGTACAGGAGGTTTGGCACAAGTAAATGCTATCACACAAAAATTGAACTTTGTGCAACAGGATTAAAAATTGTAGCATACAAATAAATATGTAATACTTCCTCACAAACAAATCCATTTCCAAATTAAAGTAATTACATAATAAGAAGTAACTAATACTAAGCACAAAACTATATGCAGTTTGAGATAAAATTTTTACTATTTGGAATTTTAAATTTTTTTTGTTTTCAGGATATGTAAACCTCTGTGGAAACTATCTGAGAAGGAAAATAATTCAGTGGTGTGGTAAGGAGTTGCAAAGTGGGGGGTGCTTGGCTAGACATGCAGATTTGACAGTGAAAGTTTGAAAGTATAAGGAGCCCCTAAAAGCAGCTCCCATACTGCCAAAGGCAGCTCAATCTAGGGAAGGGGTCTGCCCCCCCCCCCCCAGAAAATTAATATAGTAATATAATTTACAGTTGCTATATAAGTCAAATATTCAAAAGTGGGGAGTTCTGACATCTCTGTAACTGTAAAACTACAGTTATGTTCACTTTTTTACTATGTGATGTATATTGCACATGATTCTATACTGAATAAGTGGTTATCCATAGAATAGATATAAGTTTATCTTGGAACATTTAGGTAAATTCATTATTACAAAAGAAACTAAACTTCAAACTATCATCAAGTGGTGTTAAGAATATTCTTTGTAAATCCTTAATCTGTCTATGAATTAAAAAGGATGTGAAAATAACACCATTTGACTATCTTTTGCCATCTTCTTGATATCAGCAATGAGTTTCTTTTCCTGCTGTTCCATTTTTGCCCTTTCTCTGTCCAAGTCCCTCATAGCCTTGTTCAGAGCTCTTTGATTCTGTCTAAGCAATTCTTCTGGAGTCTTCCGATGACCAAATAACCATTCAAGTGGCATGTTTCTTTTCATACAGAACAAAAATCAAAGTAAATACATAAATCTTTCATTTAAATATTTCTGACATTATAAGTGTGACTTTTTAAGAAATAGCCTTGCTACTATAAAGATGGAGTTCCATTTACTTTAAGAAATAAAATATTTAACGAAGAAATGTATTACACACACATCATAGAGTTACCTACCAGCATGCATCTGATCCTTGTCTTGCATTGTCTCTAAAATGAAATCAGGACCATTCTTATCCTGTTTTGAGTTTTCTTTACAAGGTATACATGCTAATTAAGTATTTTATTGAGTTTTTATCCAAACTAAATAAGAACAATTTCAAAACATTATTCTATATAATTGGATTTGTAAGCATGAACAATACTGTTAAAAGTATCTGGAGAGACGACCAAAAATATATTTTTCACTCTCACTGCCACAATCAGTGGAGAACCCACAAGCATATCCTTTCTTTCAGGCCTGAGCTGCTAATGTACTTTTGTGTTGTTGACAATAACATGTTTTTTGCTCTCAAAACACATATTGCAAACCTGAGATTATTCACTGTACATATTCAAGCAGTTTCTTTTTTACTTACAGTAGTATTTTCTTTAATGTTAGCTCTATCTCTCATAAGCATTATTTGGGATCATGTAAAAATCTTGATATCTATACTGTTTACATAAATGATGAATAACCATAGCCCCAAGCCTTTGGGGACCCTCACTGGTTACCTTCACTTCATCATAAAATGCTCTTACTTGCAATACAATTGTATTCTGCTAATAAGAAGTAACCCAATTGCTATCATCCCATTTATATTGTAAGAATTATTAATTGCATACACATCTGAGAAAAAAGGAGAAAGAATACACAAGAATACCCCAAAACATAAATCTAACCAAATTACTAAAACATACAAAAGAATCAAAGAGAGAAAAGGCACCATGGCTCATCAAGGTCACATCCTCAAAAAAATAATAAAAGGATTAAGAATAATCTTAAACTTTAGAGCAGGATTTTGATATTATGAAAATAACTGAAACATAGTTATATGTATACAATTTTGAAGACAATATTTGAAATACAGGGTTACAGGTTGTTTAATAGGGATAGAATACTAAAATGAAGGGAGAGGAGTGGCTTCATGCATAAAATGTGTTATATGCTGTTGAATTTGAGTATATATATATAAAGAAAATAGCAAAGAGGTTCAATCTATTTTCGTTTGTTGTAGTAGATATAGGAGGACAAGACTTTTACTTAGAATTTATCACAGACAATAAAATGAAATTAATGAAAACCTTAAAAGTGAAAGTATGGGGGATTTTAATTTGAAACATAAAGACTGGGAAAGTTTAGACTAAACCAAGAGCAAGACAGGTCTTTTACTCTTAATATAGTAGCATAATGTGTTTGAAAAGAAATGGTTTTTCTTTCACCAATTTGTCAGGGATCATACTCGGAACAATGCTAGTTTAGATTTATTGGTAGCTTCCAATATCAACATGGTTGAGAGGGTGGAGATCAAGGAACTTCTGGGTGATCACTGCTTAATTAGGTTCGATGTTTTATTACATATGGAGATCAAGAATAACAGAATTTTGAAGACAAATTTGAAAAAAGCTAATTTTGACATGATGCAAAAAGAGCTATCTATTATAGATTAGGCAAGTGAATTATTTGGAGATACTGATCAAATGTGCAAATTTTTTTAAATATTCAAGATAGTTTTGTTCTTCAAAAACAAAAAAATGTGACTGCAAGTAAAAGACCAGGTTGAATCCCAAACATTATAAGGTTAAAATTAATGAAAAGCATTATAATAGGTTTAAATTGACTGCTATGATGGAAGACTTAAAGAATTACAGAAGATCAACAGTTTGTCAAACAAGACATTAGGCATTTGAAAGGGTATATAAAATAGATTGGCTGAAAATATAAAAACAGTAACTATTTCTTGAAATAAATTAAGGGTAAGCAAAATGTTAGGATGAAAGTAGGTCGTTTAAGAGACTTTGAAGGAAGGATAATTTCTGAGTATTATAAGAAGGTTGGGTTACTAAACTACATTTCTTCAGTTTTACTAATAAATATTTAAGAAATATTCCTCATCCTGAATTTGCTAGATAGAAACATGATCAAACAAATAATAACATCAAATAACGAGTATGTTAAGAAACAAATTGGGAAGTTTTAAGAATGATAAAGCCCCTGGACCAGGAAATATTTCCCTAAATGTTGAAGTCTTTGTTGACTAATGGACTACTTCAGGGATCAGTGCTTTGGCTTTTGTTTTTTATTAACAATAATGATATTGATAGGGGCATACTTATTAAAGTTTGCATATGACAACAAACTTCTGTAGATTTCTAATTATATTGAGGATGCTGGAGTATCAAAGATTTACTTGGATCACTAAATAAGTAAGACAAATATCTGACAATGAAACTATATTGAACTATAGTATATGTGAGATAATGCATTTGGGTTATCATAATTTGGATAACATATTTATGGATTTAATATAGATAGAATGACTATAAAGAAAAGGGCCTTGACATAGTAGGGTATGAATCACTCAAGCAATGATGGCAGTATTTTGGTGCTAGTAATAAAACTAATAACATTTTAAGGTGTATTTATACACATGGGTGCCCGCAGGAAGGGGCGTCACTTGACCCCCCCTGGGTTTTCAAAAAGAAAAAATATTACTAGATATGTAAAACTATTCTTCTTTGTTATTGGAATATCATAAGGTATTTGTAATTACAGGGGTATTAACAGTAGTATGACTGGTATCTACATTATTTTTATTTCTTGTTGATACAGTTATTTAGAAGATATTTTAATTGAATTATAGTTTTATATTTATTCACCCCATGCCAGAAAAATGTCAACTTCCAGTCTTCCATAGAAGAAAACTATTTCAATTTCACAATTTTTTCAAACTTGAGTTACTTGACCCCCCCTAATTTTTTTTTTTCTGTGGGCACCCTTGTTTATACACATACTGAAATTAAAGAGGTAATTATTTCTATACAAATCACTAATAGGCCTTACCACTTTGAATATGTACAATTATGGTCTACTTATCCAAGGAGCTTAAGAAGGATATTGATATTAATCTATTATTATTGTTAACTTATTGGTAAAGGTTTAGAGGATTGCATAGTTTATTTATTAGTCTAACGCTACTCTTACTCTCTGACTTCAGTGTTAGTACTAGTAGAACCTCTACTACTGTACCAGAGAAGAGAAAATCTACAGACTGTAGTATTAAACTTTTACTTTAGTGTTGTAAAATTTACTACTGTCACTATCAGTATTGTAATTTACTTAATTAATGTGTAAATATGATAGTGTACTTACTAAGCTATAGTATAATTGACTAGTAAAAGAAACTGGTGATGTTGCTAACGATTAAATACACTGTATATACTAATATTTGCTAATTTAATTTTCAAACTTAAGTTTAATTTGTGAACTAACGTTATATCATCCAGATTAAAAAAAAACATTCACTGATTCTGTACAAGTCGCTTAAAGTACGAAATTCAGAAAAGAAGAGGAAACTAGAGTGCGCTTTAAAATCATCTCTCACGTCATTTCTCAAAATTAGTGAGAGTTTACGAGATGAAGTTGAGTTCGCCATTTTACTGTTTGATGTTGTACGTTGTTTGAACTTAACGTCTTAAGTCGTGATGATAGAATTTTTTTTAATTAAATAAGTGAAAACGCGTCATCAGATCTTTGAAGTATATCCACTAATTTCAAGTAATCCCCTTTAAGGTAATTAGGGTTATATCTATGCATTTATTTAACAAAGGTTGGGTTGTTTATCGTTCTCTATTACAAATTAGGCTTAGCACAAAGTTAACGTTTAGCGTAACGGTTAACATTGATTAAGCCTAAGGTAATAGTTATGTTATTAGTATATCCTGTATATCTAGAACTTAGCTTAATCATTAATGTGCTGGTCTGAATTTTAAATGGCTAATTTTACGTGAGAAAAGTAACATGAAAAAGGCAATACAGTACTGTTATTATTAGTGATATTACTTGTACTACTGCTACTGCCAAGTACTTGAAGTTGAAGTAGTCGTACAACTAATAACTTATATTGAGAATTCTGAGATGATTAAGAATAACAGTGGCAAGAAACGACCTTTTACAGTACTTATTAATATGATTCGTAGTCAGAGTTTAACTTTAGTTCACAACTTAAAAAGCATGCTTTCTCCAAACCAATTAGTTATTCTCAGATTATACTAGTTACATTGCAATTTGCAGGTAACAGTATACACACTGCCACAGTGTGAAAGACTGAAACTGAAAATCTAACTTAAGACTAAGTAGCATTACTTCAATACTTGGTGAATAGTGCTGTTGGATGTTCTACCCATTTGTCATTTTCTAATAAGAAGGAAAATGTATCTTCTCTCCAAAAATAGTGGTAAAATGCTATCCAAGTCAAATCTTATCCAACAAATTAAAATAATTATTCTTAGCCAAGTAGTTTGAAATATTTAGTTTATGTAAAAAATAAAAGGAACAGGCTTGTCAAAGATCTTGGCAAGTTGCTAACTGAGAAGAACACTTTTGAGATCGTATTATGATATTCTGTAACACTAACAGTATAATCTTCCAGAATCTTATAATATCAGGAAAACATACAAGATTCTACTAAGATCCTTCAAGATGTTATAGGATCTTGATAAAGATCTCTGTAAAATTTTGAAATTATCTTAGTAAGATTTTATTAAGCTTCTTATAATATTGTTTAAGGATGTGTAAAATATTGTAGGATTCTTGAAAAGTTTTTTAAAATTTGGGATTTTCTAACAATTGCTATAATATTGGTGGACTTTTTTTTTTTTACGTTATTTGATTTATTTAATAGTTAATAGTAGAGTACGGTGTAGTCCTTGTAATAACTTCAGTTTGTTATTCCATTGAGTCTTAAATTCATTAAGTCGGCCTGGGATTCAATCACATCCATGTTAGTTGTATTACAAACTAATTTCATGAGCTTCATAGGAGAAACAAAACAGTTTAAAAGTTTAATCCTCTAAATCCAGGCTTGTCTCTTCTATGTGTGTCACAACATTTCACAGAATATCAATTCAGAATTTAATTAAACAACTTTATCATCAATGTATATCAACAAAACTATTATCAGAGTGTAGTTTATAATTCAAATTTTTTATATTATCTAGATTTAATTTATTAATTTCAAAAAAATTCTAAGCCTTCCTTTATTTCTGGTTTATCGGCATTCTGAATTCTCATCTTTTAATTTGTATAAATTCAATATTATAGCAATAACACTGTTTGACTTTTCCTAGATATAATCTGTAAACAATTCCAAGGTCCATTGTACTTGTTCAGTGTGCTAACTTCTCCCTGAAATGAGAAATTATTTCCTCATCACATGACAGAAACCTCACCCATCTATACTTATCTTTAAAAGCAGTTTTCAAAACCACTTGCTCTTAGTTGAAGCACATTTATAACCAACAAGCTGAAATACCCATCAACTGAAAGGGAATGTTTAAACTTAATTAAAACAATGTAAGTTTAACAGCAATCATATTTTTCAAAGTAATAACTTGAACATAAACTTTACCTCAAAATTTTAAAATTATAACAAAGCTTCTTAATAAACAACATTTGCAGTTTGCTTTCCATCTACTAACAAATAAAGACTTTGAGGTGATCTCACCCTTGAACACCCACATCTCATTGAAAATGAGAAAAACATGGTTTTTTAAGAAATAGTCCAGCAATTTTCATACTTTGACCATGAATCCCTTTAGAATATTCAACATTGTCTAAGTATCAACCTGCCAAGATTGTTTGAGACTGACTAGATAGGCTGGGAGTAATTAACCAACAGACTTTACAAAATAGAAATAGGGTTAAGATTCAATTTTGACCTCCCTTGGTATGTTCCCGATAGTTCATAGTGTTTACATATAAATTTGAGTTGAGATTAACACAATATGCTCGGAGGAGTTAGGGTGCAAACAAACACACATTTCGTCTTTATATATATATAAATAGAACGTGGTAGATGTTCATTCGCAAACATGCGAGAAAACTGTTTAAAAGTTGTTTGTCAACGAGCACATCTGTCTAAAAAGACCTAACAATATTCAATAGGGAAGTAGTAAGTGATAAGGTTTCTGCAAATAGAAGAACGTGTTTCTAAAACTAATTCAACTAAGGGAAATACCTATATGTTGTATACTTAAGGAAATACATGAAATGTATACTAAAAATGTAAAGAGAATATTTCTTTATCACGTCAACGTTTGTTTTTGTTCAAGTAAGAAACACCCTTATTAAAAAGCATGTTTCCCAAACATTTTTCATCGTGACAGATGAAACACTAGGCACCATATAGGTTTATTATGTTTTCATAAGAATTAAACTTGCTATAATATATTTATACATTAGTATTTCAGATATCTTTTATTTTTATTTGTGTGTGTGTGTGTGTGGTCAGACTGTCTCACTGTTAGCGATTAACCTGGTGTGAATTAGGAGAATTACTTCATTTGACCTCAAACATCTGTTTTCTTTTAAATGTTCACGTTAATTCCAATGTTACTTCTTACTTTTGTTGTTTAAAATCGTTCTTTATTCGTCTAAAACGCACCAAGGAACAGCTTAGGAAACGCAAATACTCAGTAGAGATTACCCAATCGCATTGCAGGAAAAGGCTAACGAGCAAATACTTTGTAGAGATTATCCAATCATAAGGCATGTACCTTTTACCCACAAAAGTATTAGTTAGTAATTATTTTATTTTAGCTCATAAGTAGTTTAAATGCATTTGAGGTAACTTATTTTATGATGATATGTTTTTTTCAGTACCAGTCATGTGAATTATTAACTAAACTTGAACGACTTCATTGTGCAGTTTGTTTTTTTATCAACATGTAATGTATAATATTTATCTTTGATTATTTTATGTTTATTAATTTTCAATTACGACATTTTCTAGAGAAAACTAAACCGATAACTTTAACACAACAGGAAAGTAATTTACATAAATTCAGGTTTCTGTAGCCAGACGAACTATAAGAGTATAGAAACAAGGCAGCATCATAACATGTTCTACACATCAAAAAACAGCAACCCGAAATTGTATTAAAATTCAGAAAAGTAATTT